CCTGTCTGTCTGCCTCCCTCACGACTCCACTCCGAGATGGCCTTTCACTCACCTTCCCTCTCTGCCCAATAACCTCTCGCACTAACTCTGTTGCACGTAGCATGTTCTCTTGGGGGCTAACCTTGGCAGGACCTGTTGAAGGTACCCCCTTTTCACGTTGTTATCCTTTTAGTCAGGAATCTGGGTCTCCCCCTTGTAGACAGGCCTCACACAGAGCTCCTCAGGCTGCTTTCTGAGGAGGTACCATCCAGTCTCTCCTACTGCTTCTAACAAGATCAGTGTCACCTAGGTGGCAGCTTTTACAGAAGCTATTGTTACTCCAAAACAATAGATGGGATTGCCTAAATTCACAGAATCATAAAACACCAGTCAAGACTTAAGCATCTTGTCAAAGTTGATGAGCAGTCTGCAACCGACTCCGCGGAGACAGCGGAACTACAGCCATGTTCATTCCTGCTCTGTTGCAGAAGGGATGAACGAAACACAATGAGAGTTTCATAGCATAATGAAGAAGAAGAAGAAGAAGAAAGACTTCTAGGTCTGCAAGTGAAAGCTTTGAATGTGAAGCTGGTGTAACCCCATTCTAGTCTGAGTAGTTAGTTAATGTCCTCACTGCTGCTTTTCTTGACTTTAATACAAGAAGGGCTGCGAAAGGATGCTTGAGCTTTGATTGGCGTGTGTGTGTGTGTGTGTGTGTGTGTGTGTGTGTGTGTGTGTGTAATTTCTTTGAGGCAGGGTCTTACTATGTTAGTCCGGACTGACTTCTAACCCAAGGCAATTCTACCACTTAGCCTCCCACACACTAGGCGTACAGCTACCATCCCTGTGGCTCCTGTCTTGTAGCTGCAAATCTGAAATTCTATCTGTCCAATGCCTTTGAAATTTGACAAAAGGCAACGGCAGCATAGTTGATATCAGTTTTTCCCCCCCCACATACCTGGTGTTTTTCCACTAAGGATTATCGAATTCAAGGCAATATCATTTGTTTGTGTTTTTTGGGTCATTTCTGTAGGAATCCATGTCAGAGAGGAATCTTTAAGCTGGAGGGAAGGGATTACCTTTATCAGAATTGATATCTTCTAGAGCTCTTGGATTTTCTCATAAAAACTGAGAAGGGTATTTTTCCATTCTCCTGAAAATGAAATTTCAGAGGCTCTCGGAAGAAAATATAACCTGTCCACATCCAGTCCTAACTTGTCATTAACACATAGAATGAAGGCCTTACCTAGTTTGGCTTAGCAACTGTCAGTCACGTGAAATGGAGCTGATTTAGTCAAGGTTTTTAAGCACCAGGGTGAAAAGCATTGGACCTGACTTAGCTCAGATGCTCCTTCTCCACTTGGCCCAGCTGTCTCTAGTGACTGTTGCTACTGCTGGGAGACAGGGGAGCTGTGAGAAGCGTCTCCTGAGGCTGGGCTTTGGACATTGAGTAGTGACATACTTATTTCACGTGGGGGTAGAGGGAGTCTGATATGAAACAAAACAAGAAAGATGAGAGGGGGGGATGGTATGAGATTATAAATGTATCAGACTTGGAACCCTCCCTCCATCATCTCAGTACTGGAGAGGAGGAGTCTAGACAAACAGGAGTTTCAGGCCAGCCTCAGCCTCGTGGTGAGGGGAGACAAGCCTCTGCCTCGTGGTGTGTGGAGGCCAGCCTCAGCCTCGGCCTCCTGGTGAGGGGAGGCCAGCCTTAGCCTCACAGTGAGTGGAGGCCAGTATCAGCCTCGTGGTGAATGGAGGTCAGCCTCTGCCTCGTGGTGAGGGGAGGCCAGCCTCTGCCTTGTGGTGTGTGGAGGCCAGCCTGAATTTGACCCTGTCTCAGCAGCAGCAGCAACAAGGAAAACCAGACTTGATCTTTGCACAAGCAAGGCATCCATTTTAGCTCTACTGTTTTCAGCATATGTGACCTTGGGCAACTGCTCACTCTGAGTCACACTGTATGGTTAATAATTTTTCTTCTGTTGGGTCGCTATGAGGATTAATGAGCTAATCGATGGGAAGCCCTTGTTCCACGGAATTCAAAACGCAGTCAGAACTGATCCATGGTCACTGGAAGGCAAGCAGAGGGGGCACATCATCTATATTCCCTCCTGGCAGCTCTCTGGACTCCCTCCGGATGGCTGAGAGATGTAAGAAGCAGCCTTTTAGCCTTTTGCAATCAAAAATTAGGTTCGAGATTCGGTTGTTCTTTTTTAACGAATGCACGAGCTCCCCACCCCACCACCACCCCTAAGAGCCCAGTTCTGTTCACAGTTCAGTGTGGGCACCAGACAAAGGTTTACTTTGTAGGACTGTCTAGTTGGACTAAAACTAAAATATGCAGAAATGTGTGGAACTTCAACAATAGAGCATAAGGAAATGGATTCCTCCTGGCTGAAAACAAAGACTTTATAGACTATGAATTTGTAAGTACAGAACATAGAAAAGCTCGGCCAGGCATTAACACCAATATGGCAGCAGTTATTTCTGAGGCGGGAAGGGAGAATTCCTGAAAAGGTGAGATAATCCTCTCTACTGTTTTCAAATTTTGCATATTTAATTTTCTTATTACCCATGTAATGGTAATAATAATAATAATGACATTAATAATAAAGTAGGTATGATGAGGCATGATTATGATCTCAACACACAGGTATCAGAGGCAGGAGGACCAGGCTTTCTAGGTCCTCCTCAGCTATGTAATGAGTTGTTAGAGGCCAAACGGGGTTAGAAGAGAGAGACACTGTCTCCAATCAATCAAACAAAAACACGAAGTTAAAAAAAAAAAAAGGCAAAGGCAAGAAAGATCAGAGTATAAGCAGTGAGACTTTAGAATGCAGAATAAATCAGATGTGTAATAAAACAAAGTAGACAGGGATCAAGGGATTTCTTCTCCGGGCTGCCAATGACTCGATGAAAGTCACCTTCTACCCAGCTAGTTGCCCTTGAGGGGCGGGAAGACCAGAGGTGGCAGGAGGAATCTCTGACCGGATCTCTGGCAAGATTTCGGATGAGCCCAGGGAAATTGCCTGCTGGATCTTGTGGTGTCATTGTCTTTCTCCCTGCAAGTACTCGAGAAGACATCTGCTCTTGTCTCACTCTTTCCAAAACCCAAGATCTGCGGAAGCTCTCGCTGAAGCACATTGCTAGATTATGCTTTTAAGCAAAATGCAACCAGATGGCAAACTAGTACTTCTAGTAGTGTATTTTGATGGCAAAGAAAATAAGAAACCGTTACAAAATAAAAATAAAAATAAAAAAAGGTATGCCATAGACAGTGGGTTGATTAAGAATACCTGGTTAAAAGGGTTCTGAACTACCCAGGGCTGGGGGTCTATATAGTTCATCGGGACGTCTGCATGCTTGAGACCCAGGACTGTAAAAGATCTAAGTAAAACAAGATGCCCTCGATACCACCAAATAAATTAAGATAGATGTGATATCATATGCCTATAGTTCCAATAGTCAGGAGGCAGGAGGATCATTTCAACCCAGGCTTTCAAGACAATGTAGGTAAAATCAATCAATCAATCAATCAATCAATCAAACAAACGCAAACAAGCAAACAAACAGCAAACTTTGACTAGTTAGTTAGAAGGGAGTGGAGAATCTAAGTACTGAATAGAGGAGCTCTTCCATTGGAAAGTCAGCTTTTGTTTGTAGGGGAGACCTAAGTAGCACTTGGAGGGGTGTGAAGCCTGACTGCCTTGCTTCCTTCTGTTGCGGACTTCACTAGGGAAGGACCTCTTCTGGAACTCCAGGAGTTTAGCTTTACTGAGCTTTCAATGCATACCCTTTAGCCATGGACTTGGGGAGCTATTTGCTCCACTGGTGGAGATCTAAACCAGGATGTGTGGGAGCTTCTGCTTGTACTGTGGCTGGCCTTACAGACCGCTTGCTTGGAGACCTGGCTTTCCATCCTGACCCTTCAGAGCAATGAGGCAACACAGCCCAGCCTGCAATTCATTACGTTCTGTTGCCATTCCAAGCAAGGCACACAAAAAAGGCCTGAATGAAGGGGAGGATGAATGAATGGAGAGAAGCATTTTGATAGAACTTCCCTAGGGTATTAAATAGCATGGGACCATTGGGGGCTGGAGAACCCTTCCATTGCTTAAGAAATACTCTCCATAAGAATGTCAGTCATCAGTCTCCCAACAACCATTCATTCCTTACCCCCCACTCATGTACACAATTGCAGAACCGCAGACCTCCAGTGTGGCCACTGCAATGAATTGCGTTTATCTTGTGAAGCCTAGCAAAAGATCTATTCATTTACAGCCCTGTGACATTACTAATACTATGAATGGAAGAACAAGGAATTTAAACAAATGTATACAGCAGCACAACGCAGAATTATAACTCAGGCTATAAAACAGGCTAGTTCCTGTTCTGTAGGTGGGGGCACATGTGTTAAGCAAAAACTTGAAATCAAGGGTTTGAAACATTGGAATCTGTCATTTCTGCAAAAGGTCACCCTGGTCCTTTGCTATTTATACCAGAGGTAAAAACACAGTAAATTATTGGCGGAATGAATTTGAGGAGCCAAGGCTGCTTTGAAGGATTGAAAATGATAAGGCAGCAGCCCTTCAGAGGAAAGGTGTGGAAAAGTTGAACCCTTCAAAGATAAGAGAGGGGGAGCTACTTAATTAGCCCAGACTAAATTGCTTGCCATTAACTGCTCTCAGGCCAGCTTTCTTTGAGACTGCCTTGTATTCTTGGGCATGGCTTTGATTGAGAAATCTCAGTTCCCATCTAACCCATTTGAAGATATCTCAGCCCAACCCCCTCCTCCCAATGCAACTCCTCTGAGCCCCCTCCTTTCCATCAGCACCCCCTCCCCCGGAAATAAATCTGAGCCAAGGCAGGGTCAGGGTTCACCCTGACCACTGATACCAGTAACTCTGCTTTCACCGAGGACTGAGTAACAAAACCCAAGGCTTACCCTAGGCAAACATGCAAAAGCATTTCAGAGAGACGCTGAGAAAACAAAAGCAGCAAACATAACCTGTCCTTACCCGCTTCTTAAAAAATTGGAAGGCTGAGCATTTCTTGACTGGGAATCCATTCATGTCTTTGTTTACCATCTTCCACAGTAGGGACTTCACAGCTATAGATCCGGGGTGGCACCCGCCTGGTTACTGCATCTGTTCCCGGCTCACCTCCCGGAGATGGTGAATGAGGAAGAGCGGGATGGAGAGGCTAACGGGGCTCAGTTCTTCACTCGCTCATTCTGCTGCAGCAGCTACTGCAGTAACTCGCCCCACTTTCAGATGTCGCCGGCAGTGGCTTTTCTCTTTCCATCATTGCTCCGAAACATAAGCATCACCGCAACAGGACCCCGGGGACCGGATGGCGGATACGGCAAATCTCTGGGGAGCTGTTCTGGCGGCCACTTAGGCGGGATCAGGGTACCGTCCCCGCCCCCAGCTACCTAGTGCGCGTCCGGTGCCGGGAGCGAGTCGCTCTGCTCCAGGTGAAGCGCTTCTGGAGGCTGCTGGAGGAGAGCTGTTTTTGATTGTGTAGGTTCCAGTGGGAGCTGTGTAGTTAAGCAGCTGGGGGAAAGGAGTAAGAAAGAGCAGGAGCCAGAGGGGAGGGAGAGACTCGCAGAAAGGCAAACGGGAAGAGAAAGCCAGGCTGGAAGAAACAAGGATTCAGGCATCTGTGAGCGGAGCAGGGAATGGACCGAAGACACAAAAAGCCCAGGAGAGCAGCTGATTCCCTTGGAAGAGGCACTCATGCAGGTTTTTCTTTGCAAAGACCGTGGCAAGCAGACTTTCCTGTAAAACGCAGGCCCACTAACGTAATGCTCAATGAAGTTCTTGGGATTCTCATCAAACGCGTTTCTGACCTGTGCAAACCTTGAAAAATAAAATCATTAAGAGCCTGCACAGGTGGAACAATGGACCAGCTCCTAGTCTGTAGGGTCTTTTTCTGGCATCTCTCCTTTCACGGTGACAATATAGGGAACGACAGGGAAGGTAATTGTGCCCTTCTCACCAAAGACACCGGGCAATAAAAGAAAATCAATGGACAGAAGCAAAGTAAGCAACACAAACAATCAGAACCCCGCAAAGACCTTTAGCCAACAACATTCTTACTGAACCCATTAATGCAAAGGAAGTTGGGGTAAGCAAGAAGACCCATTTTCTTAAGCACTTTATCCTCTGCGTAGTAAATTCATTTAACAAAACATCTAATTATGTGTAGCTCATTTCCACTCAAACTCTTTGATGTTGGTAGTTTATGAGTTTGGGTTTTTTATATATATATAGTGTTTATAGCAGCAGGGATAGGTTTGGGGCTGGCCCTGCTTCCCTGTCAGTGTGTGATTTTGTCTCAGTCACTTCACAGCGCCCCCAACCCCCACCCCGCCTTCCAGATGTTGCCCGGTCTATGAGATGGACATAACCATTCATTTGCACATTCATTTCCTATGTCACTTGTTTGCTGCCTCATCCCATTAATTTCAAAGGTCAAATCCAAATACAGCATTGTGTTCGCCAGTAGGAAATACAACGAAACTATCGTTAATAACAAGAGAAAGGCACTGTGCCAATTTGATGCACCTCATGGACACTGCCTTAGTAAAATGCTTTTAAGGGTTAAAGGTATCATACTGTTAATAGACTGCTTGCCTAGTGTGCAAGAGACCCTGGGTTTGATCGTCAGCGCCACATAAATCAGACATGGTGGCAACATGGGATTAGAATCCCAGCAGTTGTAGGAAGAGGTAGGAAGATCAGAACTTCAAGGTCATCCTCAGATAGTTTGAGATCAGCTTGGAATTCACGAGAGAATACCAAAATACACCACCACCACCACCAACAACAACAAAACCCCCACATTGTTAGACCACTTACATGATGGTCTCTAAAGGGAAGAGAAACATGCAAGTTCATTGACAGAGAGGAGCCTGGATTTCTTTGGAATATACATCTATGAGATATGAGATATGGATTAAGTTGTCCAAGACCCAAGGATCCATCATGTAATCTACGGTATCAATAGGCTATGGTTTTCCTTAAAGGGTCTTCTAAAAACACGAGAGCTCAAAGGGAATTATTTTGAGATGATAGAAACATTCTGCACCATGATTATGGTAATGATTACCATACCATACCGTACCATACCATACCAAGAACTAAACTACACCACGAAAAGAAAATTGCTTTCGTAGTAAATTCTACCTCAGTGAATCACACTAGAAAACAGCGGCGGTCACACAACTTCTCTCATGGTTCTTTTGTTGCCCTTCCTCGAAAAGTGTTTCCACAGACATTTATTGAGCTTGGGTGATATATAGGAAGGACTTCTTAAACAACCTAGGGAAAAGGAGGTTCTGGGACCCTCACTTTGCTTGTCTTTGGTAGACTCTCTAATGACCTGGGGTGAAGAGGAATGTCTCATAGAGACTACAGGGGAGGAGGTGAAGACTCATCTCTCCTTCCTGCACCCCAGAAGTCACCTCTAGATGCTGTCACTGTGAGCTCACCTGCTCTAGGCCCTATGCAAGGTTCGACTAATGCAATGATGCACGCTTTGCATCACATGCGAAGTGCACATGTGATTGAGAATAATCTTCACAGGCTAGTGCAGTTGCATGCTTATTCTCTGGGGAGTTGGTGAACTGTCTGGAAAGGATTAAAAGGGGTAGCCTTATTGAAGTAGGAGTAGTTATGACCTTGTTGGAGAAGGTGTGCCACTGGGAGTGGCCTTGGAGGTTTCGAAAATCCACGCCAGATTCTCTTTCCCTCTTCCCCTCCCTTGCTTCCTCACCCCCCACTCTGTCCGCAGCTTGAAGATTAAGACGTAAAGCCCTCAGCTACTTTTTCAGAACCATACCTGCCCACCTCCCATCACATTTCCTGCCATGATGACCATGGACTCACCCTCTGAAGCTATGAGCAAGCCCCCAATTAAACGTTTCTTTTATAGGATTTACCTTGGTCGTGGTGTCTTCTTATGGTCATAGGACAGTAGTTATGACAGTGTGCATATATGGACATAAACATTAGATCCATTTTGATCTGCAGGTGAGCAAGGTGGGGAAGAAGGCAAGTGAGGCCTGGAGAAATTTTCCTCAAAGGAATGATGTTAGTGGTTGCCCTTGACACAGCCCAGTTGGGCCATTGCTTGTCCTGAGGGTGGGACAACTTATTTTTAATTTTTCTTTTTATCTCTTTGTGCTCTCTCTCTCTCTCTCTCTCTCTCTCTCTCTCTCTCTCTCTCTCAGCCCCCCACCTCCGTGAAGCTGGAACAACACGTGATTGTGAGCCACACAATGCAGGAACTGAACTTGAGTCTTCTGGAAGTGCTCTTAACCACCGAGCCATCATTCCAGCCACTCTCTGTCTCTCTCTGCCTCTCTGTCTCTCCCTCCCTCCTTCCCTTTCTCTCTCTTCTCCTTCCTTCCTTCCTACTTTTTTTCTTTCTCAAAACAGAATACAGATTTGTTAAGGAAGAGTAAGAAAGAGAGAAGAGGTTCCAGAAAGGAAATATCCCTGACTATTTCTTTTAGAAAAATAATCCTTGGTTTTGATGAATTAATAAACCCACCTCCTTTTATTTATCACAAAATCTCACTTGTTCATTCTTGTAACCTCAGCACCCAGTGGAAGTGGCTGAGTGTGGGAGTCTATGGATTTTCATAAACCCAATAAGAAGACAACTAAAGCGGACATCTGTGATCCTGGCGCTGGGCTACTTGCAGGGACTGTGAAATTCCTCTGAGCACGTGAAACCATTGCAGCGACTCCAATCACACCCTAGGCTCTGAGATCTGATAAGAGATGCTGGCCCTCCTTTCTCCTCACATCTTCAAGCCTCAATGACACTGCTTTTCCTCCTTTTGAATGGTCTCTCCCAGCACCCAAAGAACACCTGAAATTCTGTCTTCTCTCTCTCCCCCATTCCCTCTGTAGAGTATGCCTGTATACACAAGGATGGCGGGCCCCAGTTGTCTTCTTCTGTCATTGTCTACCTTATTTCTTAACTATTGATTTTGAAATACTTTTTTAGACAATTACATATATATCTACAGTGTGTTTTGATCATTATTTACCCCAACTCCCTCTCTCACTACCCCAGAGTACCCCAACATGTACTTCTCCCATCTTTGTTTCTGTCTATATCATCATTGTCAGTTTTGTCTTATTATTATTATTTTATGGTAGAATCTTACTATGTAACCCTGGCTGGCTGGAACTTGCTGCAGAGACAAAAGATCTCCCAAGGGCTGGGATTAAATGTGTGTTCCGCCAGCTGACTTCTCCACCTTACTTTTTGAGGCAGGGTCTCTTACTGAATCCGAAGCTCACTAATTGGCTAGTCTGGATAGCCAGAGACCCACCTCCCATACTTCCGTTTCTCCCTATCCAGCCCTGAGATGATCCATAATGACATCGTGCCTGGCTTTTTCTGTGGATTCTGGGATGCAGACTCAGATGGTCATCTTCCATGGCAAGCACTTTACTCACCAGTCGTCTCTCTAGTTCCTCATTTGTGTTCTACAGTGTGTCTAGTCCCCTTGCAGAAATTATTTAAACTGTAATACAAATAATAAATAAAGGAGCTGTGGAATACTGATCACCATTATATATCCAGAGTGTGTGTGGCAATCTTCCCTCAGTTACTGAGCCCGTTTTCTCACCTGTAGAATAGTAGTAACGAAATGCTTTCCTCCCTGCCCTGTAAAGAAACTGTCAGTGTTAAATTATGTGTGAAGAGTCTTTCCCCTGTTTGCAAAACAAAACAAAAAAACGCACGCATGCAAAACACACACACACACACACACACACACACACACACACACACCTCTCAATAAATCTATCCTTTTGGTCTTAACCAAGCAGGAGATAAACACCAATATAATATAGAAGCTCCTTATAGACTTAGAGTGTTGGTACATGGTACATTTAAGTTCCGAATGGAATGTGGTTTTCTTATAGCACCTGGAAGACAGACACGATAGTAAGAGAATATCTGTTGAGGGGCTGATGTCCCACAGAAGAAAAGAGCACAAATAGATATGTCATAAGAAATATTTTACATTCCTCTTCACCACGAGGTACTCGACTATATGTTCTAGTCCTGAGGTAGGGACACACGCAATCAGGGCTAGGAATACCCACTAGAGATTGTACGTCTGCTTAGGTTCATGACAAAGATTTCTCTTATGATGTTTTGTTTCAAACTTGTAATCCTTTTATTTCATCAAATTGGATCTGTCTTGTCTTTCTCCAAATTTTATATGTTTACAGTGTGTATCTTTATGAGTGTGAGTGCCACTGTTCCCTGAGCCATCTCCTTGGCACATCTTGTTTGCGTTCATTTTTGTTTGTTAAGAGAGGGTCAGCTCAGGCTGACCTCAGACTCAAAGCAATCCTCCTGCCTTAGCCTCCTGAGTACTGGGATTGCAGGTATGAGTCACCACAAGCAGATCAGCAAATTGGATCCTTTTCAGGAGAAAAAGTTATCAGATGAAAGGTTACAAAATCAATGCCAACCCTAAAAAAAATACCTAGAGGTAAAACTCACCCCATGGTGTTTTAGTTTATTTATCTTATATTTTGAGATAAAAATCTCATTATGTAACCCCGGCTAACCCAGAACTTACCTGCCTCTGCTTCCCAAATTCTGGGCCCACAGATATGAGCTGCCAAATCCTATCTAATTATGGTAGTTATACCATGAATTGTATGGTATATATAATATTTGCATATATACATACATGTGTATATATACATACACACATATACTTACATACACACACATATGTTCTGTAC